CCTTTCTTTCTGAGCCTTGACCAGAGACCTAAGGTCAGAAATGGCATAATGACATTTTCCACTGTGCAATTAAAAAAAAAACGCACATATTCTCCACATAATTTACATAGGTGTGGGCTGTACTCATGGGATTTTTTTTTTGTATTTCTTTAAGGTATGGGCTATCGGGAATCTTTTCTGTAAGTCTTTTGGAATCTTTTGCAATAGACTCATAGAAAGCGCACAAAAGTAGCAAATTTTGGATGAATTCAAGTTGGTATTTCATTTCGAGTTGGTCAAGGAATTTACACAGTTTTAATGGAATCACCTTGAAATACCCTTTCCGCTTTCCAAGCAATCTTGTCATCTCAACTTTCAAATCAGTTTGTAATTTTCTCAATCATCTAGTTTGCTATATTTGTATCATTTGCCATGGCAACATCAATAGTATGACAGTTCTTGTGGCAGCACAATAATTATCCGGACGTTGATGGAAATCACGGTCTCTCTGACAATCATAGTCCCAGAATATTGGGAGTTTTCCAACATTTTCAATTGTTATCCGAGGCATATACTCGTATCATTTTTTGGCAACTTGGTACCCATAATTTCGACACAATAACCAATCTACATAAAGGCATATTTTATCATGGCGCCTCTTTTTTTTCTTTTTTTTTTTTTTTTGAGCTAACCTTTACAATCACTGATCAAGTGAATCATATTCACAGAGTGTTCACCACAAAGCCGACATTTTGGTAGGATTGTTATTTTGTGTATTTGGTATTTTTAGGGATTTGTAGTAAGGGCTTAGTCTTATGCTGCAATTATCAAATTTGGTATCGCACATTGGCATAATCAATTGGTTTTCTTTTTTTGTAAGCATTCAACCCCAAGCAAGGTGGGAAGCCACTAGCACGCAAGGGGTTAAAGAGAGTTGGAGCGAGAACAAAGAGGAGTGATAGAGGAAAGAGGTGAACGAGGAAAGAGACGGTTAGGGGATAGATCAGGGCATCTGGAGACGTCGATTGACATTACATTTGAATAGTTGGAGATTATAGTTATCAGGAAAACAAGAAATGGGAAGGGAGTTCCACAGGCGAGAAGTGCAAGACATGAAGTTATCGGAGTAGAAGAGACGGATATATTTAACAGTTTCGACAGTGAAAGGATGAGAGCGAGATGCCAGCCTAGTTGAGCGCTTAAATTCACGAAGTCTGGGAACCAGCGAAAGCAGCTCCTCGGAGCAGTTGCCGTGAAAATATTTGTAAAAAAAAACACAGAGGGAGGCGACTGCACGTCTGTGAGAGAGCGACTGCAGACGAGATGCCAGATCAGGGCCAATTGCATTGCATATCCGTCTTTGGATTTTATCAAGAACCTTGAGATAAACAGAAGAGGTTCTAGACCATATATGGCAGTAATACTCCATGCAAGGGCGAATGGTTGATTTGTAGATTTGAAGGATCGACTCCGGCGAGAAATATTTCCTGGCTCGGCATAGGGAGCCATCTTTCCTAGCAGTGGGCGAAGCTATTGACGCAATGTATTTGTTCCATCTCAGGTCAGCGGACAATGTGAGACCGAGCAGTCGCAAAGAGGTGCTTTCGTTTAGTTGAGCGTCAGACATTCTAATGGGAGGCAGGGATGGTTCTCTCTGGTGAGTAATAGAGAGCCGTTTTGTTTTTGAGGCATTAAAGTTAACCAGCCAATACCTGCTCCAGTCCACAACCGATTGGAAGTCCTTTTCAAGACAAACGGCCAGGTTAGTTTTGTTGGCGACATGATGTCAACTAGATTTCATTCATTCTGATGACCTGCTGTCATACTGCAAATATGAGGGCTTCTGATTCTCTAGTTATAAACAAACAACTCAAGAACTTTCAAGAGAACCTTCGCAGATTCATTGATGGCAGTTGTCTGGAGGTCTACAATATTAGTCTCCATTGTAATTCTTCCTCAGCGCTTTTTCAGTTTTCTAGGTGATGTTCCAAGCGCAACCATTACTATAGGACTTACTCTAACTGTCATTTTACATTGCCTTTCCAATTCCTGAGCGAGATCCTGGTATTTTTCAATCGTTTCGGTTTTTTTGGAGTCCACTCTTTTACGGTATGGAACAGCAAAATTAATAATTTAACAATCGCTGATTTCATTATCTATGGCAATAAGGTCGACTCTTTTTTTTTAATTACATGATCTGCTCGAACCGCTAAAATCTTTGAAGCGTCATATTCTACTAATGCGTGATATGTTTACCATTTCTCTTTCACATTGAAGCCACATTTACGGCAGACTTCACAGTGGATTCTCTTACCAATCGAATCATGTGGCTTATACTCCTTCTGTACTAAGTTAGGATATTCAGTGACCACATGATTAACTTTTTCATCAACTTGTCCACAAATCCTGCATTTGCTTTCTTCCTATGATTTGTCTATCGTGTTCGTGATTTCAGTCATTCTGATGGTCTGCGTTCATACAGCAAATATGAGGGATTCTGATTCCCTAGTTATAAAACAAACTTTTACGCAAAGTCACTTCCCAGGTCTCTTGACTGAAAATTATTATTATTATTATTATTATTATTATTATTATTATTATTATTTTTCCTTTGATTTCTGGTGTGTACACATTTCTTTCCGGGTCCCGCCCAGAAACCTAAAGTTAGACATAGCATCATGACATTTTTCACTGAGCAGTTAAATAAAAAATAACAATAACACACATATTTTACATAGGCATGGGCTTCCAGAAATTCCTTCAATGAATCTACTGAAATCTTTTCCAACAAATCCGAGGGCTCCAACTACAACAGGGATTATTGATGTTCCCATGAGCCACATTTTGAGATTTCGATTTCATTGTCCTTTTATTTTGATAGCTTTTTGAAGATCTTCAAAGATACATTTCAGTCTGCCGGGACTGCCATATCAATAAGGAGGCATTTTGTTTTGTTTACGGTCTCTAATAACGATGTCTGAGCGATTAGATTTGATTGTTCTATCTCTGTGTATTGGACAGCCCCATAAAATTGTTATTATTATTATTATTAAAACATTTCGATAAAAACGCGATTTAAGAAAAAAATACAAGTTATTAGGTGATGTTCCAAGTGCAAACATTACTGCAGAAATTACTTTAACTGTCATGTTCCATCTTCTTTTCAACTCCCTCGCCATATTCTGGTATTTTTCATTTATTTCGGAATACTGTTAAACAATGTGTAACAATATTTTGACAGTATGTCTGTCTTCTTCGAGTTACGTATAAAAATTGCACACAGGTATAAAATTGAACCCTTTATTTCTCTCGCTATCTAGACTGTTCTAGTTCCATGTGACGCGTCTAATGGATGTCAGTTATCAGTTATCTCCTGTCAATTTCTCTCCAAGTTCTCCGCTGCCTTAACCAGGTATTGAACTCACACTCTTTGGGTTCTGTCACTGGATCGAACTAACGCCTAACTTAGGGTTCAGTTCGACATTCCAACCACCTGAAGAAGGCCGAAGCGTACAACGGCTGAAACATTATGATAAATATGGCAACAAAGATGAAGAAAATAGTCTGAATAATGTAAACAGTGTACATAACACCTCATTTTGTAAAAACGTCGCATATCCTGACAAAAAGTTTGTACAGTTAATCCCTGTGACAAAGCGAATTTAACACAAGCAACGTAAATGGAATGCATTTGAAACAATATTATTTATAACGTAACTTTCGTGTGGCAAAAGGCCGAAAGTAATGGGCACCTAGTGAGGATCGAACTGACTATTCCGTCGTAATTGTTCTAATGAGACAAGATTGCTAATCATTACACCATGCCTAGGTGCACTAGGTGCAGGGCTTAGATGTGGCACAAGGCCGAAAGTATGGGTCACCTTGTGAGTATTGAATTCACTACTCAATCATAATTGTTCTAGCAAAACAAGCTTGCTAACCATTACACCACGACACGTATTTAGTGAGGATCGAACTCACATTTCAGTCATAACTGATCTAGCGAGGTAAGTTTGCTAACAATTACACCACACCGAGGTACCCATATTATTATTTATATGTTTATACTTTTATGCAACTTTTAATCATAATCTGAAGACAGACATAATGTCGAAATAGTAGTAAACATTAAAAAAAATATTCTTTTCTTTTTCTTTTGTTAAATTTCAGTCTTCTTAAAATACTGGAAGCGTTACATCAATCATATTATTCGTTATTGTTGTTGTTATTATTATTATTGTTATTTTATTTTCTTTGATTTCTGATGTCTACTCATTTCTTTCCGGGTCCCGCCGAGGGACCTAAGGTTAGAAATGGCATCATGACATTTTCCACTGGGGAAAAGAAAAAACATATTTTGCGTAGACAAAGCCCTTCGTAAGTTGTGGGCTGTACTCGTGAGAACATTTTTTTGTATTTATTTAAGGCATGGGCTTCCACGAATCCCTTCAATTAGTCTACTGGAATCTTTTCCAACCAATCCGAGGGCTCCAACTACAACAGAGATTGTTGATGTTCCCCATGTGCCACATTTTTGAGATTTCTATTTCAAGATCCTTGTGTTTTTTTATCTTTTTGAAGATCTTCAAAGATACATTGCAGTCCGCAGGTACTGCCATATCAATAAGAAGGTATTATTATTATTATTATTATTATTATTATTATTATTATTATTATTATTATTAAACTGATTATGAATGTTTCCGTAATCTTTAAAAAAAATGGGTTGGTTCGAATATAGGTGAAGGCAGTTGTGGTCGACTGTCAAAACTAATATGGCGTTTTTCTGTTTTTTTGTTTTGTTTGTTTTTTTGTTTTTTTTCATAGATGACAGCGCTGTTGGTGTTGGTGGTGGTAGTTTGGGTATTTTTCGAACGTGTCAGTTCCATGGATGACAAACCTTGATATCTTTTCCGAAATTTTTTGTTTGTTTTATTTGAACAATATAGATTAGAGGTGTTCGACCAAACTAAAAAATCAAATTTCTAGCCTGCTTATATTTTTTATTTATTATTTCAAAGTTATCAATCGATACCTCGCCGTCACCTACAACCCATCCAGGCCCGTGAGAACATCCTCAGCAGGTAAAAGCTTGTCACATCCTTATCTACGGGGTTTTTCTCACCACTTGTACCGACCTTCACTTAACCGGCGCTCTTTCTCTTCCTGTGCCTTCGTGACATCATGCGTCCATCAGGTGATATCTTCTTGAGCGTTTATCTATCGAAAATAAACCTCTTTCCACAAATCTCATCAAAGATCCAACAAACCCACACAAATAAAAATATCTCTAGCTCCTTCTCTCCTCTCTCTCGCTTTTTTCTAGTTTCTCCCCCAATCTTTTTAGAAAAAAGAAAAACTCTCTATCTTCTTCTATCTATTTAGAAAAAATTAAATTTATACTCGCCATGGGATAACGATTCATGTAAATCTTTTGATAAAAAAATTACCAACGAAAAGGTCAGTTCGATCCTCACTGAGCATCATACTTTTTTGTGCCTCGTGTACCCTCAGGACGATCATAGCTCTTCACAACCTCCGGTCCCTTGTAGCTCTTAATAAACATTTTTTTTTCTATTTCTGCATAGACCTCTTCTCCATCCATTTCCTCAAGCTCATTAAATATGTAATGTGTAGTCTTCCTCTGTTCCTCTTGCCCTCTGCCTTTCCTGTGAGTATCAGATTTTCTAAACCGTCTTTCTTCATTATATGCCCTATAAACCTCAACTGTCTCTTCCATATGTTAAATATAAGTTTCCCGTTTGTTTCCATTTACTCCAAAACTTCGTCGTTGCTCACATGCTCAATCTACGATATCCTCAACATCCTTCTGTAGAACCACATTTCTGCTGTTTCAGGTCTCCTCTTCATCTTCGAGGAGAGTACTCACTGCTATACAGGAGGACAGATATCATACAGCATTTTATTATTCTTTTTCTAGTTTCTAGCGAAATGTTCCTAGTTCTTAGTACTCTGCTTAGCTTTTAGAATGCTTCTTTGGTCATCCATACACCTTCGGATATCAGAGTCTAGTCTAATCGAAGTTTCGTACTCTTGAATCCATAATAAAAAGGTAGGTTGGAAAATTAATTCAAATTCATTTGTTTCCGAAGCGATAGTCAGGTGTTTAGAATAAACGACATGTTGGAAAAAACGGGCAGGTTGCAAAATATATGGATAATAAAATAAACTGGGATGTTGGCTACAATAACAGTGAAAAGATTGGGAAAAAATAAAAATTGAATTAGCCGGGAAGGACCGTTTACTCCGAACGTATATGTATATATATTTTGATGTCTTGTTTGAATGTAACGTTTATCAAGCAGCACTCACAAAATCCTTATTACTAAGTGGCGATTTCAGTCCTCAGTGGGTGTAATACATTTTTATACCGAATAAGTGTTCCGTAGGGAATTGTCATATTGTTGGAAATTGTTCAACTTATAAAAAATAAGTTTATAATAAACTTTGATAACTAATCGTGACACGGTGAAAATTATTTGAAAAATATGAAACGTCCCAGATCAAATAAATGCGTAGAAGGGTTATATATTATATGAGAATATTTTTCGGGATTTCGCTGTCATAATTTAAGGTTGCGTATTACACATGAAAGCGTATTATATGTGAATATCTATATATACAGATTGTCCAAAAATTTGACGTCATTTTAAAAGCAATTATCTTGAAAACTGCTAAGTTTAGCTCAATGAAATTGAAGTTTAAATGTTGAACATCATGAGTTTATTCTGGGACCGATTTTATAAGTGTTCAATTTGTGTACCGCCTGTGACACGGCACATATCAGTTCGATAGTTAAGCTCTTGCCAAACACGTTGTAGCATGTTTCTGGTAACATTATCCAGTGCGGAAGTGATTCTCCGCTTGAGTTCATCGATGCTAGCAGGAAGAGGAGGGACATAGACCAATGTCTTCACATATCCCCATAAAAAAAAATCACACCGGGTTAAATAAAAAACGGCAAAATTTCATCAAAAACTGTCTTCATCTCCAACAATCTTTGATCCATCAAAAATTTTTTTTTTCTCAATGAGATAACAAAAAAAAAACATTAAATATAAAATATTGAACTTGTTTCTATGCATTCTGTGAAAATTTGAGGTTATTTCAACAAGAATTGCCAAAATTATTGACCTACAAAATTATGTCAAATTTTGGGGGACAATATATATATATATATATATATATATATATATATATATATATATAAAAAAATGATATAATATGAAAACTGGTAATTATTCGACACAATTTCGTCCAATGTGGACTTTATCAAAGCAAAATACGAAATGAAAAAAATTTTTTATTCATAAATATTGTCTTCTACTGGTTAAATCGGAGAAATTTTCCTATATATATATATATATATATATATATATATATATATATATATATATATTATGCAGTGTTAAATTAGAACATGCAATATCCATCTACAAAATTGAACATTTTTGTTTCAACGTCCAAAAAAAGAAAACCTTTTTAAACATCTCATCAGGTAGGGAATCATGGCATTACTAAGATTAAAATTAAAGGTGTTACTAATATAATAAAATTAATGTTCTGAACGCAGTAATCTTACTGTTCATTCTTCTAAAATTTGATATATATATATATATATATATATATATATATATATATATATATATATAACATTCAAATGTTTGGGACCAAAATTGAATAAAAAAACACTTAAGATGAAATAATTTTTTTAAATTAAACCGAATTTTAATATCTATAGGGTATTTGCTTTTATTTTGAGAAAAAAATAGGCCTTTAACTGTAAAATAATTAGGGAACAACGGCATATTTTTGTCAATAAAATAACTACCTGCTTTAATTACTACATTACAATTTCATGCCATCTTTTTTAATAGTTTTTTTTTAAAATTAGTTTGCAGATCTACCCAAATATTCATCATGCACAGAAAAAAAACTTGCTCCTACGCTTTGTATATTCTCTTTAGACTTTTCTATCCAATTCATCCCATATAAACAATTAAATAAAAGAAATATATATATTAGATATATTAGAGAGAGAAATAGAGTCAAACGATATTTGTTATTTTTAACTCGAGGTAATTTTGACAATTTTGAACAATGTTTTGGAGTGCTGTCTTGTTGAAAAGTGATCTCTTTCCAATTATGCGTAAACCAGATGTATTTACAAAATCGAATGATATTTCTTGTTTTTGGGGTTTTTTAATGATTTGCTTCACCTGAATCATATCTACGGCATTTTTCGCAACTTCAAAAAGTCTACTATATAATGTTTCTCATACAAATATTCTTAATTTGGCAAAATGTTTTGCGAACGGACGATTCCAAATTTGAAATTTTCGGTAGTAAGAACAACCTGGAGAAAAAGTAAAAAAAATAAAAGCAAATACACTGCAGTTATCTGATTTTAAGGTGTTTTTAATTTTAAAAAAATACAGGGTTGTCTCAAACTGTCTGTCATGTATATCTACGTAGAACGTCAACCAAGCTATGGGTTCATCTCTAAATCAATACACAGTAATGTCGCATAGTGAAATATGTATCCACTTATGTCCACATCTAAACGCAAACCTACATTCAGCTTCAGTTGAACACATGTACTTAGGAGTCTATTTACACACCTTATCATTTCCGTTGTATTACAAATAGGTGTATGAACTTTTTTTTTCTATTGATTTTCATCTAAAATCAAAGCATCTGATTCTTATCAATTTTCAAATTTAAATCTATTTCCCATTATCTTCCCACACACCATCTTTCCCCAGACATTTAACTTTTTTATTCTCGATCTTTTAGAAAGAGAAAGATACAGTGCTGATACATATAGACACATATATATATATATATATATATATATATATATATATTAGATTAACGATAACAATTATCTTTCTGTATATTTCTATTTCTCCCTCTCCCCTCCTTTTTTAAATTATCTCTGAAACCTCTCTCTATCTATATATATATATATATATATATATATATATATATATATATATATATATATATATTTACAATGCAATCCTTCATTTATGCATGTTTCATTAAAAACGACAGGTTTATTAAAAACAAGACAAGTACTACGGTTAAGCTTTTTATTTAATTTTTTTTGTGTTCGAACAAGTGCTTTCTTTTTTGGACAGTGTGTGTAGAAACTGTCCAAATGTTCTATAGTTCCGAGCGCTTTCGGCTATACCTTTAGCCATTATCAAGGATGATTTTATTTTTTCAGTTTAATTGAATGTGTGTGTTGTGTATGTTTTTAGTGTGTTATAGAAATGTTTTATTTTCCGAACACGGTTAGCAGATCGTGGCCTAGTTCACAGGTAATATTGGTAAGAGTTGTTTTTTTTTTCTTTTTTATTATTAGGATTTCCATTATTTTTAATCATTTTTTTTACATGTGGATGAGGTTATTATGTTTGTATTTTCTACTAGTATGTTTTGGATGGAGTCTGGTAAGTTTGTGTGTGTGTTTAAATGGGTTCTAATAGAGCTGTGGTCAGATAGGTGTAACGTAAGGCGTCTGGATAGGCATGTAGTTGTGTGACCGATGTAATTATTTATGAGTTCGGTTTGATCAGGAACACAGTTCCTTAAGGGGCATTTGAACTCATAGATAATGTTCGTTCGTTGTAATTTTGATTTTGTTGGTGTGTTGTTATTTTTGAGGATTAAGTTAGCTGTCTTAAATTTTTTATAGTAGATTATTAATTTTATTTTTTTTATTCGGGTCAATTCGGGTAACGTATGTCTTTATAATATTTCTAAATGAAGATTCATCTTGTTTGTAGTTAATGTTCATTTGGTTTTTGTAGAAAGTATTTATGTAATTTTTGACTATATGTTCACTATCGTTATATTTATATCTAATTTGAAATGTCTAATTTGGTGGTTAATCAACATCTAGGGAAGTCATTGTTAATTAGTGTCTGTTTTACATTATTAAGTTCTTTAAGGAAGAAAAGTCGAGAGGATGAATTCTCTGTGACACTCCTTTTTGTAAAGTTTTTTATGTATTTTGTGTATAAGCGTTTTTTACTTTATAAATAAAGGTGTCAAGGGTTTTCTACTGCGCCGTCCTTCTTCAAACCTTGTAGACTGGCGCTATATAATCATCAACAAAAATTGTACCAAATAACATTTGATGACATCAATTTATGATTTTCGACAACGGCATTTATTTTTAAAATGGTATTCGCAAATAATAACTTTTATTCAAAGCAAAATTTTTAAACTTTTAATATCCTCATCAATTTATTGGAAATTGATATTTAAACAGGTTTTTAACCTAAAATATATGTCGTGTCTTGAGAAATATTTCTATTTTAGCAAATAACACTAAAAATTAGATATACTTAAGACCAATTTCCAGAAAAACACTGTCCTTTAATTTTTAATAGTGAACTCAGACAAAAAAAAAAAAAACAAAACAAAAAACTCCCATTCTTTTGTTTTCGTAGAATATAGCTTTAACATTTTTATCAATCATCTATAAAAATATTATATATTTATATATATATTGTATTTATGTAATGAAATCTAGGATAGATTAAATATATTTCATTTTTTTCCTTTATATTCTGCATTTCTTTCAGGGTCCCAAACCAGAGAAATTGTTGGTCAGAAGGTTTGGAAAATGGCATTTTCAAATGAGCATTTTTTCAGGAAGATAAAGCCCTTCATAAGGTTTGGATAATTTATTTAAAGACAATTTGATATACGTACATCCTTAATTTCCGTACAGACAATTATTTTTATTTAATGGGCAGTTACTTTCGCTTATTCAATCAAAAATTTTTGCCGTACAAAAAATTTGTCGCAAAAAAAAAAAAATCAAAAAAAAAAATCGCGTTAAAATCGTCAAAAATAATGGCCGTTATAAAATCTTGGGAATCCAAAATTTCAGAATTGCAGGTTTTTCATTTTGCTTGAACGCTTTTTAATTTTTTTTTTTTCTGATTCCAAAATGTTTTGATTGTTGGGCTAAGCCTTCTAGGAGTAAACTTGATAACACAGACAATTTTATTTTTTTTATATAAATTTAAAACAGTATTTTTTTTCATTTGAACATGAATTATTGTATGGTTACAGAAATGAATCCTTTTAACTAAGTTTTTATCATTCTGAAGTTAAGATATTGAATCTGAAAATTATTGTCATTAATGAAAATTGTAAATCTTCATTTAAGGATAGCAGGTCCGGATCCGCCCAAAAATGTTTTTTAATTTGTTCACGTAGTTGGCATCTATTAAAAAATGGTATGATAATTGGGGATATTGTAAAGTTTAAAAAGTGTGACCCAGCGAATAATAACATTGATATTCATATATATATATATATATATATATATATATATATATATATAAATGATGTGTGTGTGTGTGTGTGTGTGTGTGTGTGTGTGTGTGTGTGTGAAGAAATATAGTTTTGATGTGTCTATATTTATGAGATAAAAGTTAATATTGAGTCAACACTTATAGGCGAAAGCTATTTCGGCATTCGATGGCGCCTAGCATGCAAACAGCCTGTCACCTCATGAGTGTTGAATTAATGTTCAGGATATATATATATATATATATATATAACGATCTTCCAAACTTACTGCATCTTTTGAAACATAAACTTTTGAAACAAAAATAAAAAGGTTTGCAAAACTATATTGCTTGATTCCGACAAATCCACGCACAACACACAGATTCAACCACACACACACACACACACACACACACACACACATATATATATATATATATATATATATATATATATATATATATATATTTATATATATATATATATATATATATTTGCTTACTTTTGTATTGAGCACTCTTTTAAGAATATTATTTTTGGTTTAATAATTTATTCCGTATACAGCAATTATATAAATTGATATATATTATATATATATATATATATATATATATATATATATATATATATATATATATAAAAAATAAATAAAACACTAATATTTGTGGTCATAATTTTCCATTCCATTATATATATATATATATATATATATATATATATATATATCATATATGTAACTGTGTGTGTTTTCTATTCTGCGTGTGTGTGTGTGTGTGTGTATTCCATTAGAAAACAAAGTTCAGTTGACTTATCTGACTGACCGACTTCAGAATTTTCGCATCAAAATACTTTTTTCCCCAGTAAGGTTCAGCTCGTACAAGACCCGAGGGCACTCGAAATAGAGGGTGACGTTAAAGGGTAGATAACTGTAATATGTAGATTTGAACTGGTTAAGATTCCACAGAGCTATGGTTCGTGGGAAGAATCTGTCTGAGTGGAACTTCTCGACGATGCAATACGAAGGGTATGTGGATGGTTTACTACAATGTAAGTGGCATGGCGGGTCTTAGCCGTGAATGCTTAGACCTGATGGAACCAAGGAATATAGTTCATCCGAGCACTTTCCATTGTAGTAGCGATAGAGCAATAAGAAGCTCGCCAAAAACCACATGTCAGATCAGGACTAGATGTTCGTAAAATTAATTGAAATTACGCTTAACTTACGTCACGGTTTCGTTAATAACATAAATATATTTAAATTTAGAATTAGTTAATTTTTTTTTGTTAATATAAGTAAATATACATATATAAAAAATCCGTATACTTTAAAGAATTTTATGTACAAATTTGGCCAGTACTGCAAATTTCCTAACAATCACATAATACGCAATATTCAGATATTTATTTATCTGTCTATATTTCTGAGATTATTTAACCCCTACATTATTTTACATTATTTTCTACTATTGTCCTCATTTTTGTCGTCATATTTATCCAAATAAATTAGCCGTTTAACGCCCAGGCCTTCTTCAGATGGTTGGAATGTCGAACTGAACCCTTTATTTCCCTCACCAAAAGAAGGCCGTTATTTAACACGGCCGAAATGTTTTATTATAAATATTATGACAAAGATGAGGACAATAGTCCGAATAATGTAAATAATGTACATAATAACTCATCTCAGAAATATCGACAGACTCTGAAGGATAGGTACGGACCCGATATACCAAAAATAAATACCGAATAATGTAAATAATGTTAGTTATCTGTTTGTTTATTTTTCAACTTAATTAAGTATACATACAATATTTACGGCCATATCACGTTGAAACACCGCTTCCCGTACGATCACCAAAGTTAAGCAATTCGTATTAAGACGAGTGACCACTTGGGAATACCAGATGTTGTAAGGCAAGCTTGGATGTGCGGGTGTTGTAGTGGATAACGGCTCGGAATTGGAAATCGGAGAGCCGAGTTCTAATCAATGCCTGGTTTATTACTATTCCTTTGCGCGCAAATGCCCATGGCAAAGGTATAAATCCATCTCTTCTTCCCCCTCCCACACCAGTCATGAATTAATTAGTAGGACTTTTATCATTAAATCAAAACAAATCCGTACAATCTAAAAATATTATCCGTTATAAATTATCTGCAAAGTGTTGATAATCCATAAAAACAAATCAATTAATTCATTATATTTCTGACTAGAAAAGAGCGCAACATCTGGCGTGAACAGCAGTTAGAAAAAGCTAGCGCGCTCAAAACATCGGTCACGATGACTTGTAACTTTGTGGCAGCACGAGCATCGACATGCAATGCCATCTACTCACGAGGCTTGCTTAATCTGTACTATGGATTTTCGGATAAACGTTACCGCATGCAATCATCTCCTCCCAAGCCGATAACATAAAGAAGTCAACACCCTGACAAATTGACATTCGAACCCGGGTCTCATGGTCGGAAAACGACCACCCTAACCACTAGTTCATGCGACCAAATAGTCAATAACTAAAGATATATGCATGTTTTCGTGAAACCTTTAGAAAAAAAAAAACATTGTAAAATATTTATTTATTTATTGTTAATCATTTCACCCGAAGCAAGCCAGTCACTGAGTCACAAGTGGTTACTGAGTGTGAAAGAATAAGAAAAGATAGAAACTATATTAGGGAGCGAGAACAATAAAAGAGTAATTATGAAGACAGTGGATAACGATTGACACTGCATTTAAATTTTGGAAGATCAAAGTTGGCGGGAAAGCAATTAGCCACTACGACGCAGGGAATTACAGGGAGTGAAAGAGAATGAGAAGACTTTAGTGAGGAGGAGTGAGGAAAGGATAATACCGAAACAGCGTTCAGGGAGATAGAAGATGGCGATTGACGTTGCATTCTGATTTTTGAAGATTTTTTCTTTGCAGGAAAGCAAGAAATCGGAAGTGAGTTCCACTGGAGAGATGTGCGAGAAAAGAAGCTGATAGAATAAAAGTTGCGGTTGCATCTAGCTAGTTCAACAGTAAAAGGGTGAGACCTACTTGACAATCTAGTAACACGCTTAAATTCATTTAGTCGAGCCACCGGCGAACATCAGAAAAGTTCCCATGAAAATATTTGAAGAAAAGACAGAGAGGAGTGACGTTAGATTGGCGAGAAAATGACTGAAGTCGGGAAGCCTACAGAAAAATGTATTTATATATTTATATATTGTTGGTATTAAATGGAAAAAAAATAAGTGGTAATATAGGGGAAATACAGAGAAAACATCCCACGAGTTATAATTAAAAAGAAAAACTTAAGTGGTCATATAGGTCGATAGAGAGAAAACATCCCGCGGGTTATGACTAAAAAAAAAGAAAAACTTAAGTGGTCATATAGGTCGACAGAGAGAAAACATCCCACGGGTTATGACGAAAAAAAAAAAGAAAACTTAAGTGGTCATATAGGGCGATACAGAGAAAACATCCCACGGGTTATGACTAAAAGAAGAAAAAATAAACGAGAATTGCAGTGAGAAGATTTTTATCCTCAGTTGACGAAATCTGAAAAATGAAGAGGATCTACGCTACTTCTAGCAAAGCCATCTAATCTTTGGAATTCGGGAGACAATAACAAAAATCCTATCAAATGCTAATCATGAGTCTTTATTATCGCATAAAAGCATATTCAAGCATTATATACCTGCAAAAATACAATTATCTATAATAACGGGGAAAAAACGATAAAAAAAAAGAATCCTGTATCTCGAAGATGATAACTTTGGGGCTATCACAAATCTTCGTATCAAAACCTACTTGAACATCATTTTTATTCAAAAGTTATCTGAATTAATGCTCTTTATCTTTTGTCTTATAATGTCATAAAATCAATCAAATGTTTCCAGTATTCGACCGTAAACCAAGCGAAAGGAAAGTGTTGTTGTTTTTTTTATATTTTTTACCAAGAGAATTGTAACTGTTATAGCAATAACTCGGGTGACTTACCACAACTTTGTAGCAGTGACTTCCGCCATTGCAGGAGTACAAAGTGCAAAAACGCAACGACAAGAAAGAAATAATCTTACAGGAAAAAAATAATATTGAAAGTTAAGTGTTGTAGTTTAAATTCTTTCTTTCTTTTGTTTTTAAATCAGTTACCTACTTCAAAATATGCCGCTTTCTGTCCCCCTTCTAAATTTCTGTACCCATCTATATGAACATGGCTTTGGTACGTCAAAACATACATTCATTATACACATGTATGAGTGTGGGTGAGTGCACGCTCATAAATCAGCAGTTTATTTTACACAAAAATATGTTTCAGCATAATCACGTTTTTTGTCAATGCACTTAATACAACGCTTCTCCATTTTTCACATAGAGCATTATACAGTGACACTTTCAGGTAAAAATCAGCGAATAACCTACATGCTAAAGGCTATTGATGCTTTCTAATAAACTCATATCTACCGGTCTCCCTTCATCTATCTATCTATCTGTATATATATATATATATATATATATATATATATATCTTCTTCCTGATGTCAGTCTATCTCAGTCCGTTCATATCTATCTATCTATCTATCTATCTATCTATCTATCTATCTATCTATCTATATGTATGTATGTATGTATGTATGTATATCTGTATGCATGTCTTTCTATTTTCACTATTGATTGCATAGATGAAACATTATACAGTGAAAATCTCAGATTAAAACTCAGATTATAGCTACTAGTCAAGACTTACCGATTCCTTCTAAAATCAATGCCGCCATTAAGTTTCAAAATAAATCAGAAGACTCCATTGTCAGTTTTCATTTTCGAAATATCTTCTGAAAGTTTTATATATCATAAGCAGAAAAGGTCTATAGGCCCCATTCCAGAAAATAGGTACAAGCGGAAATAAAATATTGTTCATTTAATATCCAAACAACATAAAATGTTTAGTCTGTTAATAGATCTAAAACAAAGATTCCTCTTTTAAGAGGATCAAATAATTACGTGTAAAATCAGGAATCTTCAAAACTGAAAATCTGATTTAGCGCCCCGCCTCTGAATATTAACATATGATTTACCCCACTACTTTTAACATCTGCATTACTTCCCAAATTTAGCATCTAATTCCGCCTCCACACACTTTTAGAAAAAAAAAATGTTAGTGCCTTGCTTGGCAGAATGTTGATCTGAGCATTTTGTAAAGAGACAGGATCTTTAAACTCCGGAGAGTGGGTCGCATCTGGTCGGCTCAAATTTCTTAGCCAGCCTGGATCAACTTGAAACATTGAAATGAATGTCGTACTTTTCTAACCAACAGTCAAGAAAGTGTTTATTTTATTAGAGATTTTTACAAATATTTGACATTTTTAAAAACAGATTTACTTGTAAGTCTTTTTTTTTTTCCGACATTTTTGTTTCTCCATGTTCACTGAATTTGTATCATATCAGGCTGATTCAAATCAAACTTAGTCATTTGTATATTCAGTTATATGCCACGCGTGATACACGCTTAGGCGATCATGTGTCTTTCGACACATGACTAGCGAGGTAGATTTTATTTCCTGCAGTAGGTTGCCATCTCTTTCTGCGGTAGATCACTTGCCATCCAAGGCTATAGAATCCGGTCTCTCCTGTTACTTACCCGTAGCTGGGATTCACAAGAATATTACGTAAGTGAATGTAATGGATTCGACTGGAATTCGAACTCGGCTCTTTAAGGCTGAAGGTATGGGGCACCCAGTGAGGACCGAACTCAGTCGTAATTGTTCTAGAGAGACAAGCCTGCTAATCATTACGCCGCGCCCAGGTACCCAATCATCAAAACCTCCTTTGTTTTCTTTCATTAATGTCTGTTCACTCAGCTATGTGCCATGCATGATACACGCTTAGGCTATCCTGTCGAAACACATTGACTGACGAGTCAGATTTTTTTCAGTAGACCGCCTGCCATCCAAGGCTATAGAACCCGGTCTGTCCTGCAATTTACCTATTGCTGGGGAGAGAAGAGAATTCATACGTTTCCCAAGTGTATTAACACGTGCGGATGTAATGGATTCGACTGGAATTCGAACTCAGCTCTCCGATTCCTCAATCCGAGCCGCTATCCATTACTCCACAGTACCTCTTCTCATTTAAATATTATTCATTTATAAAAACTAAGTTTTACCTTTGGTCCATTAAAATGCGTAAAATATACAAGATGGCTAATAGGCAAGAACATCTGTCTCTTAACCAATATGAAGGACAATAAGCCTTAGTCTAAGACACCTTATTAGTCCTGGTTTTCCTCTTTGATATCAGTACCAACGGGGGGGGGAGAGATGAAGCCGAAGCAAAGATATAGGATCAGCTATAAAAGCGATCAACACAAGATTGCCTAGGGATTCTTCTTCTTCTTCTTCTTCTTCTTCTTCTTCTTCTTCTTCTTCTTCTTCTTCTATGTGACTTTGGGCGATCATGTCTCTCTACAACTTCCTATTTATTGTGGCTCTTAGCAGTGTTTCTCTCTTTTTCCAAACCTCTTTCTCCTGTTTCTACATCCATTCACACAAGCTCCTCTGGTAGGCTGCCTTCACCTATCTCTCTTCCTCTCGATATGCTACGTGAGGGACAAGCTTTCCATGCCTTTCTTCCTCATTATATGTCCTAGATACTTCAGGGGACATTTTTTCTGATTTTAAGTGTCCATTTTGTTATCATTTTCCTTAAGACTTCCTCGTTGCTTAATCGCTCTACCCAAGGATACTGTATGTGGTCTTCAGTTGAAGATTCGTCTCCAGCTGTACTAGAGGATTTCCAGACAAGGTTATGTCGAAGGACAGAGTCTCGTCTCGGGAAACAGCTACCCGACCCCGTTTTATACGTTTTTCTACGGGGAATTTTTGGCCGAACCTACAGGCTCGGATACCCCACATTAAATTCGGCCTTGTGCCAC